CCCCAGCAATCGCTGCTATCCTGGCACATATGCCATAGGAGTATTCTCTCTCTTCACTAGCTCATCCCTAATCATCTCAGCTGCCACCGAACTATGTTTAGTCTAGTTTGAAGAGACAGAATGGTAGACATATATGTCACACACAGAACTCATCTCAGCCCTTTATAAAATCCCTGCCTCTCAGAAACTATCAATGAAAGGTAAATTGGTGCAACCTTTTTCATTGTATCAATAATGTGGCCTTATCATTCCAAAATTGTAAATGTGTTTTGTATATCGATTGCACTTCAGGCAATTAATTCTACATATACACTTATAAAGGTACACAAAAATATGCATATGTTTGCCGAAATATTATTTGATAAAGCAAAAAGACTTAAAAACACTAAATATCCATCAATATGAGAATGGTTATATCCATAATAGCATGTTATTTGATATCCTGTGCAGCTTCTAGAAGAATGAGTTAGATCCATGTGTAGAGCATGGAATGATAGCTAAAATACATTGCTAAGTGAATAAAAGCTAGTTCAGAACAGTGTATATATTGCATAATTTTATTTGTGATTTAAAAGGAGATATGCTTGCATATGATTTAAAAAATGTTTGTTAAAATATATGAGAAATTATTATTAATGATTAGCATTAAGGGATGAGATTGAAGGGGCTAGAGGAAAAGAAACTCATTTTTAAACTTTATATCCTGTTTGTATTGCTTTTATAATTAAAACATCCAATTGCAGCCAGTCTATTATTTTTCAGGTTCATATGGTGAATAGATTATACAGAGCTTAGTGACCATTTTTGACTCAGAATAACCATCACTTTAAAAAAAGTCCTCAAAAAAAGTCCTTTATGGCTAAGTAAAGAGCAATGGTTGACTATAATTGAGGTTCACAGAACCAACTTCAGCATTGTGGACATAAACTCAAAATCCAACTCATACAGAAAGCTCAGTAAAATTTCCTGTGATTACAAAAATCAATGTGTCAAGCCTTTAAACTGTTGATGAGGTTGTTAGCAATTTTAATATCATTCTTAACCACCCACAAATTTCCCCTTGATACTTACCTGCATATATATTTTTAAATGCATTTTAGTTTGTACCATGTGTTTCCAGCAAGATTTCCTATGCAATAGATTTTAACGTCATGAAAAATTTTGTATCATATTTTACAAGCCCAGGGAAAAGTGAAGAAGAAAAGATGATCCCATATTATGCAAATGTCCTGTTGCTGAAGGAGAGACTGCTCAGTGCAGACCTACACAAACTGGTAGATTCTGATATTAGGTTTTCAAATCCTGATAATTGGAGCCGTTCAATGAATCTCTTTGCCTGATCCTGAAGAAAAAGAACCAGAGACATGAAGCGAGAAGATGAGAAAACATAAAGGAAAGAAAAAAGCAGTTGGTAGATAAAATTGGCAATAGACAAACATAGGTCCTCTTGAGGCAAAGCTTTAATCAGGAAGTGCCAACATAGCAAAATTTCATTTGGAACATCAATTTCCAGGTCATCTACCTTTTCCAAGGCTTCCAGTTGCTAAGCTGCTGATGTCTCTGGTTACTAATCTAACAAAGTTTTCCAGCGTCAAAAAGTTTTAGCAATTTGCCTTTCTGTCTGCACTGCAGGAAAAAAAAAAAAAAAAAAAAAGCTGAACAGTGTACAATGTTAATTTAAATGTCTTGTATGATTGCTTGACTTTCTGTAATAGTATTTTGTATTTGCAAATCTAGAGAAACCTATATTTCCTTGGTAAAAAGATAATAGGTTTATATTAAAGCTATCGACAGACATACCAAGCAAATAGATAATTCATCATGCTATGATTATAACCAAGTATAGTTTATGGAAGTAATCCATGCCTGCAATTCATATACAATCTTGAGATCTTCAGAATCAAAGCATACTTTTGCTGTTAGCCCCCAAACTTTTGAGAACTTCCATTTACAACTAAATGCCTAAAGCACAATAACCATTGAACTGAGAAAAAGAGGGGTTAAAAGATCAGCAAATGAGGAAGAAATAACAGAAGTTAAGAAAAAAAATTAAGAAGACAGTAATATAGCAATAATTATACTTTTGCTTGCCTAATTCTCTTATTACGAAGCAATTCATCTCCAATTATAAAAATGAATGTAACTTTCTAAGAAAAGTTTGCTTCCGCAAACTGAATAGGTTCTAAGCATGTTTGGTAATTTCAAATATATGTGTTGGTATGAGTTGAGGTTTTTAAGGCATAAGCCTCCAATATTTAGATCCAAGTATACAGAAGTAAGTAATCTTGACAACTAACATGAAGTCTAAATGCGAATGGGCCCCAATTATTAGAATGATTCGGGGGAAAGTATATTTTTGAACTCAATTATCTGGATAACTTGCACTTAAATACCCAAAGTCCACAGGGTTGGGCTACCACTTCAAACTCATAGAATATTTTCTCTTTTGAACCATTAATCAATTTTATTATGTGCGGTTTCGACAATACAAGTCTATTTGCCCCTCTGTCTTAGCATCGTAGTACCCTCTCATCAGAATATTGGTTAGATTCCCTAGTGTGAATCACTTATCCAGTTGCTCGCCTGATTATTCACATGTTTTTGAGATTTGGGAAATGTGGCAGATAGGCAGGTTTATGCTGTGTGCAGCTTGGAGCGCAGCCAATGTCTGTCTGCCTATACAGTATATTTACTTTCCTTCCTCAAATATCTCTCCCATACAGAGAAGCTGTATTTTAAGACTAAAATCAGTGTAGAATGCAATCCGGTAATGTCACTGCAGAAAACAGCAGGTGCTCATCCACTCATTTGTGGTGATTCTAACAGTGAAGAAAGTGAATCAATGATTCACCCAATGGACAAAGAAACATCAGAGCGAATATTTGGACAAGTCAAATGCAGAAAAGGAACATTCTCATCTAAAGGTGTGCTCTGATTTTAGAAAGAAAATCCTCCCACAAGAAAATCAGGAATTTGGTTGAAGTGCTCTGGTTGTACCTGCAGTAAGCCATGGGCATATTCCCTCTCTCCCTGCTTCTTCTGTTTTATTACTTCTGTGTTGTACTCCTAAAATAAATATCAATAAATCATTGCAGTTAGATACTCTAACATAGACAGAAATGTACTTGACTCCCTACAGTCATTACAATTGGAGGGGACTCTGATTAGGATGCTTTACTTAATTAAGTGATATCGTCTAAAGAGAGTTCTTCCCTCCATTTTCTGTTTAACAGTCTTATAAAACACCAACAGAGGAAATTCATTCTGTTGTTTGCTTTCCTTATTGTAAATGGTTTCTTCTCATTCAAGTTTACAGAAGAAGATATTGTGTTAATGAAATGGCTAATAAGCCAAAGACTGGTTCAGCAACACACAGAGCCTTGTTCAAATCAGCCCAAGCTGTACCAGACTTGAGATCATTTTCTCCTTAAATGTATTTTAAAATTTATTTTTATAACATCTGTAACCCAAAATTAAGATGATTCGAAAGAATTTTTTTTCTCTGTGAAATCATGCTTCATCTTATTTATTGTATGGTTCCATGCTTCATCTTATTTATTATGTATGGTTAAGCAGAGACCTTAAAAATCTATTTCTTTGAAAAAATAGAAAAAATGGGCAAAGAATAAGCAATCCTTATGCAAAAGATGTTATTTGTGAGGCACTTTAATTTTACTGAAAGAAGTCATTAAATTTGGATTGCCAATACAAATATGATTATATATGTTTTCTAAATAAAATGCTATTATGTTGCAACTGAACTCATCCATTTATTGTTTGTTTACCTAATGCTCAAATGCATGTTTTATTCATAGATGTCTGGGAGAAAAAAATTTTGCTTGATAATCACACCAAGCATATTTAACAAAAGCGATTCTCCTTTTATTAGTGAACAAGTTTAAGCAGAATGATTTCATTTTTTTCCCATTTAGTTAATTCAGACTTACAGAATCCTCAGTATACAGCTTTTGTTTCTCCCCCTGCTGCCTTTTATGCATTTAATGTATGCATGCCTATCCACTGATGGGAAAATATCATTTCCTGCAACTCTTCCTTTTTCCTCCTTGACTATTCTCTCAGTTGATTTTTGGTTTTGGTTAGTTTTTACTAGTTAGTTCTGTAAAATCACGTACAAGACAGACAAATTGAAGCCAAGTAAGTAGTTCACTATTCTGTTGAAGACTTTAAATTCTCTTTCATTAGGGTGATTTCGAATTCTAAACATATTTACTCATGCTTTCAAAAATAAATATTTGTATTTTAAGGAAATTAAAAATTCATAGAAAGCCAAGAAAATGATTATTTATTAATAACTATGAAATTATTTTCATTACAAATTAAACATTTTAATAAAATGTTTGCAACTTAAGCAAAATAACAATGACTTATATTAAACTTAGCAACTTTATTTCTATTAAAAAGCAACATAAATGTAAAGATTCTCTTAAATGAACTGAACCAGTTTACAATAGATTTTTTTAACCTCAACACAATATTCGGCTAAAAGTATTTAATGAACTGAAATGCTGAAATGTTTAAATACATATGACTCAAAATATAAAAATGGATATTAATGAATCACATGCAGGGGATTTTTGATTAATTGCTTAACTATTAAAAAGAGTACTTTATAAATTGATAAGAACCTGAATTGTTTTAATCCCTGACCTGTATAGATTGGTCATTTTTGGAGCAAAATAATAATAGTAACAATAATAATCCATAGTTGCTGAATAAGTTAATTAATGTTGTATGACTCTAAGGTGTTTGTTTTGTTTTTGTTTTTAACTGCATAACTCTAGTCCTGCATAAAACCACTACCTGGAGGGAACATTCTGAAGTTACGTAAGTTTTCTTAACTCCTAAGCTAAATCATCTCTACCATAGAACCATAGAGAAACAGAAAAATAATGTGCCTCCAAATATGTTACCCAAAGTAAATTCCAGAAGTTGCTCATAATTGCTTTTATTTTTTTAAAGATTCTCTTTATTAAAGACTAGCCTTCTATTAGCTCTAAAATTCATTAAATATTAGTTATTTTCTAATTTTTAATGTAAATAATTTTTACAACCAAAAGCTTAGTTTGCCTACTCTCTGTTAAGCAAACTTCTTTATAGATTTTCCTTAAGCTCTTCATTTAAAAAAGTGCCTTTGTCCTGAAACTAAACATATGACATTCCTGTCCCCTAAGAAAAACTTTAAAGGATTGTATAACAACAAATAAATTCTGTCAGAGATTTTATTCCACTCTCCTTTATTTGTTTACTTCTTCAAAAATGATGTAAATTTTAAAATAAAGAACATGTTTTTTTTCTTAAGACTTTAGGATGAATGAGAATTTCGTCTAATGAAGTACCACTGAAGTCAGAGTAGCTGCTGAATCATTATCTGGCAGAAGAATGTGAATCTCATTTCGTCCAAATCAATTATTTTTATCGAATGACTTTTCCATCTCAATTATTTGCTTTAAGAAATAATGATGATAGAGATAAGCAGAGTTATTTTAATATGCATTTTTAGAGCATTATTGTTGTAATTCCTCTAAATCAAACTAAATACAACAGAGCCAATTTCAGGTTGTTATTAAATGACACTGCTTTTTATTGGAGCAGTGAACATCTGTAGCTACTATTCCAATCCTGACAGGAAAATATACCAGATTTTAAAAATTTAAACACAAATATTACTATGTATTTAATAGGCTCTTTTGTCAGAAAAAGATATTTACACTCCAATATGTGCTTTTTCTGTATTTGTAAGATGAGCATTCTAAAGTATTTGTCATCAAAGCTACTTATCTCTGTAAAGGAGTAGAAAGAGTAAATTTCCTAAAGAGAATTTAGCTAAGAGATACCCTCCTGCAATGAAGTAGATCGAATCTGCGCAAAGAAGAGTACAAAGGAAAAAGTTTAGTGGTAGAGAGAAGACAGTTCTTTGAAACTATTTTTTTTTCCTTCAACAGAAATACATAATGAGCACGCAAAAAAGAAAATATTTCACAAAAACTTTTTTGGGAGCAGGGAGAGAAAAAAATATCTTGTGTGATGTGAAAAGAGAAAACGTACAGACCAAAACAAAACAAACAGAAACAAAAACGGTCAAAGTGGACTGTATTTGTTTTCTTCTAAAGTATGTTTCTTTTCGACAAGAGGTGATTGCAGTCTGAAGAGTAAATTAGTCCCATCCTTATAAATACAGAACAGATCATCGACTCATTTGGAAGACAATTCTCTTATTAATAGCATCAGTTTCATAGCTATTTTTGCCTCTAAAAAGGGCACCTGCTAGACATTCACGAATTAGCTTTTATGAGGGAGAAAAACTTATAAATTGCTGTCAAGATGTAGATATTTCTTACTCGAGTC